GTCCTCTAGCAGTGTTCACTGCCGTCATCACACTGTAATTTACACCTCCAGGGCTTATTGGTGTTATAACTGGAAGTTTGCACCTTTTGACCATTTTTGTCCAATTTCCCTAACCCTCACACCCACCCCTGGCAACGACAAACCTTCTTTTTCTATGAGATTGTTTCTTGCTTTTCGTTTTTAGATTCCACGTATGAGGTCATGCAGTATTTTTCTGTCTCTGACTTATTTCACTTAGAAAAATGCCCTCTAGTTCCACCCATGTTGTTGCAAATGTTGTTGGAAAAGGATTTCTTTCATTCTCATGGCTGAATAATATTCCATTGTATACAACAGAGACATACATATCTATCAATACCTGTATCACACACACATATCACAACTACTTTATCCATTCATCTGTTGATGATGCTCAGATTGTTTCCGTGTATTGGCAAAGGTGCAGGTATATCTTTTACAGTGTTTTATTTCCTTCAAATATATTCCCATAAGAGGAATTTCTGGATCGTAAAGAGTTCTAATTTTAATTTTTTGAGCAGCTACCATACTTTTATCTATAGTGGTTACATCAATTTACATTCTCACCAACTGTGTGCAAATCTTTGCCAGCATTTGCTATCTCTTGTCTTTTTTCTTTCTTTTTGTTGATGATCATTCTAATTGGCTTGAAGTGATATCTGACTGGTTTTCGTTTGCTTTTTCCAGGTAATTAATGATACTGAACACCTTTCATGTACCTGTTGGCCATTCATGTCTTCTCTGCAAAAATGTTGATGTCCTTTGTCCATTTTTTAATGGATTATTATTGCTATTATTTTGCTATGGAGTTCTGAGTTGTTTTTATGTTTCAGATGTTTTTCAGATATATAGTGTGCAAATAATTTTTCCATTCCATAGGCTGTCTTTTCATTTTCTTTCTTTCTTCTTTTGTAGAGCAGAAGCTTTTTCTTTTTTTCTTTTTTTTTAATTTTTTTTTTTTTTTAGATTTATTTTTATTTATTTATTTATTTATACAAGCACTGGGTACAGTCAGAAGCGTGGGAGGGTGAGAGAATTCACCAGAGCCAGAGGGGGAACAGAACAGGCAGACTGACTAAGTACACTGCTGAGGGGAGCAGCAGGCAGCAGGAGAGGTCTGCGTGCCATGTGGGACCCTCCTCTGGTGGCCGGGGAGCAGCCGGGGATCGAACCGGCGCTGCAGAGGCTGCGGGCAGCATCACAACCCAGCATTCAACCGCTGCGCCACCGGGGAGGCCCGAGCAAAAGGTTTTTCATTTGATATAGTTCCACTTATTTATTTGGGGTTCTGTTGCTTGTGCTGTAGATCACCTATCCAAGAGGAAAACAAGCGAACATTGCTAAGATCCATGTCGAGGAGCTTTACCCGTAAGTTTTCTTCTAGAAGTTTTGTGATTTCATTTCTTACACGTACATCTTTAGTCCACTTCAAGTTAATTTTTTTGTGTGGTGTAAGATAGGCGTCTTGTTGCATTCTTTTACATGTGAATATCCAATTTCCCAGCACCATTTATTGAAGAGACTGTTTTTGCTCCCTTGTCAAATATTAGTTGAATAAGCCTGCGTGGGTTTATTACAGGGCTCTTGGTTCTTGGTCTATGTGTTGCTTTATGACACTACCAAACTGTTTTCATTATGTTAGTTTTATAATACATCTTGAAACCAGAAACTATGATATCTCCTGCTTTGTTGTTCTTTCTCAGGATTGTTTTAGTTATTTGGTGTCTTTTGTAGTTCCATTTAATGGACGGATGAGGGGGTAAATAGCTGTTACATGTACATTTTCATTAATCATTCCCATTTCTAACATGTCTGAGTGATAATTTTTCTGATGATGATGATGATAATGAATAGATTATTCAAGTCATTGATTATTAGCATTAAGTTTACCATATTCGGGGCTCCATGGTGACCTAGGGGTTAAGTCTCAGCGCTGTCACCTCTATGGCCTGAATTTGATCTCAGGCCAGGGAGCTTAACCCACATATGGCGCAGCAGCAGACCTATCCTGTCTTGCCTGCTGCTCTCTTTAGCAGTGCATTTCAGTAAATCCACCTGTTCTGTCCCCACTCTGTCTCTGGTGAATCCTCTCACCCCCCACACCTCTGTCTTACACCCCAGTTCTTCTATGCCATACATAAATAAATCTTTTTTTTTTTGCAAGTTTACCTTATTCACGAAAGGGCAGGCTTGCTCCCATGTAGTGAATACATGATAGTACCATTGCTAGCATTTATTGGGGCCATACACTTACCATATAGTATATCCTTTACTCTTCATAAACACTTTGTGACCTGGTAATGGTGAAAATTTTCTGGGCTAGAGATGGGTGATTTAAGCTTGCCAATTCTCTGTCAATTTTATGTATATTATATTGAGATGTAGCTCACATTTATAGACTTACTTGGTTTTTATCTGTATTCACTAAGAAAAAGGACAAAAGTTAAAAACAAAGTCAAAAGCATGGCCAACATCTTGCATATCTAAAAATAAGTGTAGATTTAGTCAACTTTAAATGTGGTTTTAAAAAACCTGTTAACTTACTAATTTAAAATTGATATATTCCAAGAAGCCCTTTCCATTCAGTCCTTTCCACACTGTCGTCTTGTGTATATTATTATATTATTAGCATATCAACTTAATTCGTGTTTACTTTAATTTTTTTTCCATTAACATTATTTCCTATATACTTCTACATTACTCTGCTTTTACAAATTGGACATTTCTCATCTTCTCTGGGCTTCAGTTTCCTCTTTTGTAAAAACAAGGCAGTTGGGCTAATATTTAATAGCGAAGCTTTTTTCCATTTCTTATATTCTGTGACAATGTCTATGGCCTATGGATGGAAATACAGCACCAGTGACACAGGAGTCTTCTTTGGAGAACAGTTTACTCCAAAATATGGGTGCTGCTTTGTGGGCTAGAGCTTTCCTGTTGTTAATGAGTCAGCATGAAAAATACCTCCAGAGAAGGCTAAGTGGGTCAGATTTATCTAAGGAGACAGCTGTGTAATCCTGTCTCCCTCTGCAAGCCCATGGCAGTGCAGATATATACTTCTGGGTTTTTGAACAACAGTCAAATAGTGTTACCCACTTTGTGAAGTCTGCAAGCCCATAAATGAAAAAAATCAAACTGACCTTAAAAAACTTCAGCAGGAGAACAAAACAGAGCATTTGCATAGGATCCCTAGTCATATTCTTCTGTCCTTTGAATGATCACCAATAATTCTGTGATACTGGTGAGTATGGGAAAGACTTTTAGTAAAAAAAAGGAAAATAGTTGAAGAATCAGCAAAAAACTTTTGCACCGTGAACTTTTTATTAAAGCTGTTTGTTTGCTTTTCTTTCCTTTGTAAGTAATAAAGTCCTAAGAGGACTTGAAAATACATATTGTAAAAACAAACAAGACAGTGAGGGAACTTTCACTTAAAAACAAACTTCGAAGGTGCAGTTATTGCTCAGGTTGGCTGTCCAAGTATTTTTGTCATTGGGGACGCATTCTGTGTCCCCAACATAGTGGGGGAGGCTTCAGAGCTTGCGGGGACATGCAAGCCTAGAGAAGTGAAATGAAGGGGAAAAAGACAGGTTGGGATGGAACTGAAGATCCTTGCCAAGAAGGTGCTGGTGGAGAACATGGAAGAAAGGCAAGGTACAGAGAGAATCCTGGAGGTGTTCAAATTGGATAGTGCAAAGTGCCTCTTGTTCTTTCACATGGATGACTACTATTTATGCTAATTTTCTTAAATGTGAAGTTCTGGCCAAGCAGTGAAGCTTGTTTAGAGTTATGTCTATATACAGTGTGAGCCTGGGCTTAAGAACTGTGGTCCGTCCTTAGGAAGAGGATCCCCAGTTGATTTAGTCCTTTGGCATCTGTCCTATCGGCCCTTGTCTAGACCATAAGGCACCAGAAGCAATTAAATAGAGGATCAATATCAGCAGACAGGTGTGCCCCCGCTTGCCCTCTGTTCTACACTAGCAGAGTCTGAATTCACGCAGCTTCTGAAGCAGCACATTAAAAACCTTCAGATTGCCAATTGCCAATACCCCTTCCAGGTTATGCACATCCATTCCTCAGCAAACAGTGGTTGCAGACACCCCTGGCAAAGGCGTGATAGTAACATAAAAGAGGGCTCAGATCCTAGACGTACTTTTGGATGTTGGGCATCAAAAACCAGACCAGAAAAGTCTTTTCCAGGTATGACTTTTGGTGTCCTGTTCATGCTAATGTCAGGTCGCGTCCTCGCCCCTACTCTGCTCCAGAAAGCAGCAGCTGAATTTGGCCTGGACGCCGACGGGGCGTATTCGCAGGTCTTGGAGGCTGTGGGTGCAGGACCGCGGAGCCCGCCCCACCTGTCCCGACCTGGCCGCTCTCCACGCGGGGTGCCGGGCGCACCCCCGCCACGCGGCGCTGAGGTCAGCCTCCCGGCCTTGGGAGACTTTTTATTCTAAATTACAGACTTTGTGCAGCCACCGGATATCCTCGCTGCACAACTGGCAGTAGCCATGTGGCTGCCCCGGCGTTTCCTGACAACCACGGCATTATTTCCACCAATATCCTGTCGCAGGCCTCTCGCTGGGCGACTCCCCACCGCCACCCACGCGGGCGCCCGTCCCCCGGCGGCCCGCGCGCCCCCGCCCCGCAGCCGCCGCCCCGAGGCGCCCGCCCCCCGCGGGAGTCGGGGCCCGGACCGCGCGCCCCGTCCGGGGAGAGGCGCCGCCGCCGGCCGCCATGTGCCGCGCGCCGGGGCGGGGCGCCCGGGCCGCCGCGTTCGCATTGTCCGAGTCCCCCCGAACCCCGCGGCGTTCCGCCCCCCCCTATCTGCGGCGCACACGCGCGCGGAGCCAGCGGCGCGCCCGGGGCCGGGGCGCGGGGGGGCGCGGGGCGGGGCGGGGCGGCGCGGGGGCGGGCCCGGGGCGAGGCCGCCGGGGCGCCAGCGAGCGGGCGCCGAGCGCGGCGAGCACCCGACAGAGGCGAGCACCAGCATGGCGGGGCCCCGACGCCCGCAGCCCGGCGGCTACCGGCGCCACGCCGCGGCCGTGAACCTGCTCCTGGGCGTCTTCCAGGTCCTGCTGCCCTGCTGCCGCCCGGGAGGGGCCCAGGGACAAGGTCAGCGGCGCCGCCTCGCTGGCTCGCGCTCCCCACCCGCCCCCCCTTTCTTTTAGGGAACTGCGGAGATCCACCCGGGGGCGAGGGGGACGGGGACGGGGCGCAGGGGAGGGAAGGCGCTGGCAACCCTCGCCCGGCGCCCGCCCGGCCGCGCGCCCCCGCCCGCGCCCCCGGCCCCTGCGGGCGCCGCGCTGGCCGCGCGGGTCGGGACGGCGGCGGGTACCGCTAGCCGCGCGCCCCGGAGCCTTTGTGCGCGGCCCCGGGCACTTCCCCGGCTTTGTGTGGCGCGCGGGGCCCTCCGCGGCCCGGCTTCCTGCAGCTTTGTTCCCCGGACGGGCCGCCCGGGACGCTGCCCTGGCCGGCGGGCGGCGGCGCCCCGCGCGCCCCCCGGGAGGGCTTGCGCCCGCCTGGGCCCCCGGCTGCAGAGCCCCGCGGCCGTGCACGCTCCAGCGGGGCCGCGGGCTTGCACCCGTCCATTGTGCTGCGAGCCCGGCTCGCCCCTCGGGGGGCCTCCGCTTTTGGAAGCGAAGGGAGACTTGTTTGGGTGCGTGGAGGGGGGTGGGGGAACAGGAGGCCTTTCTCCTGCGTGCATTAAAAACGCGGTGCCTTTTTGGGTGTTCGTGCAGCGATCGAGCCCTTGCCGAACGTGGTGGAGCTGTGGCAGGCAGAAGAAGGGGAACTCCTGCTGCCCACTCAGGTGAGGACGGCCAGGTGACAGGGGGGTGTGGGCGGGCGAGGGAGGCCAGGCCGCCGGCCCCCCAGCGGCACCGGCGCTCGGGCCACTTTGCAAGGCAAATAAACGGTCGGGCCGAGCCCGAACACCTGGCAACGGTGGCTTTCCAGGCCTCCTCCCGCGCCATGTGACAGGGCGTGAGTCACGCCGGCCCCAAGTTCAGGAGCCGGGAGCCGTGGCCACCTCAGCAGGGCCGCGGCCAGCAGCTGCCGGGCGGAGGCAGGGCGGGCCACCGGGTGGCCAGGGACGCGTGCCCTGCGCCCTGAGCGAGCTGGTCCGCGCGCCGGAGGACACAGGAGGATTGATTCCCCAAATGCTTGTGCGTGGTACTTGCCATTAACGCTAAGTAGCCTAGGGATGAAGATGTGACTTTAAAGGATTGTGATCTTGGATGTATTCCAAGTGCCTGTAGTTCGTGTTAGAATACACCCTCTTGAGAACTTGCATTTCAGGTTTTTGGTTTTTTCCCCCTCGGCGTGTGATGAGATAATGATTGCATGTGGAAAAATAATTACTAACTTTTTATTGGGAATCTGTGGCATCAGACATCGCTTCTGCAGCAGAGCAAGTTCTGCAAAGCTTTTGTCTTTTAGGTTCGACTTTTTGGAGAAATCCTCACTCACCCCAAATGGACACAGTTAAACATTGTGTTGCTGACTTTTTCAGCATCAATAGTAGTAACCCTCCACTTCCAGTTTTTTTTCTGGGGGGGGGGATAGTGTTTTGAATTATGTAAGAAGATTCAGCTTGTGTGCAGTAATTTTTAAGATGTTCTTTGCTTCCACGTTGGTGGCAGCGCTTCATCTTATGTTGTCTCATGTGGCTGTTTAGAAAAACAGGATGTGTAGCTGTGACTTCATTGAGAGACAAATGCAGATTTACATTTCAGTTTTCGTCTTCCTATGTGAAACATTTAGAGTGCTGCCGGTTTTCAGCTATTTGGAATATTCATTTTAACCAGGCCTAATGAATAACAGCTTCAAGGCGGAGAGGTGATTTTAGAGGAACTTTTTTCCTGAACATTCCCTGAAGGCCAGAAGACAGAATGAGACCAGTCCTTTCAGAAAAGGCCCCGGCAGGATGGGGACTCAATAGTATGTCCTCTTAGAAGTTTTTCCCAAATGGAGTTTTTCCTCGTTATACATAACATATGTGTATTGTTGAAAGGTTTGGAAAATACAGAAAGATGAAAAGAACAAAACAGAAATCATCCATAATCCAACTGAGAGAACCACAACTTAGCATCTGATGTATTGACTTTTAAAAATAGTTATATCTCTGTAGAGCCAAGTCGTCCAGCAGCAGCATTAGTGGCATTTGGGGGTGGAGCATTCTTTGTTGTGGGGGCTCTTCTGGGTGAGAGAAGATGTCAAGCACTTAGAACATCCCTGCCTTTACCCCCTAGATGCCAGTTCTACTCCTCCCCTCCCCAAGTTGTGATGCCAGAAATGCCCCCAGTTATTGCCATATGTCCCTGGGGAGCACAGTTGCCCCCTGACAAGCACTGGTGTGTGTCTATGTGTATTTGCATTTTCACTCAGTTGTACCCTCAGCCTCTTCTGGTTAGTGTTGGAAACCAACTCAGACTAAAAGGAAAGTAAATTATAGACTTTCATTTGTTACGGCATTAGTTGAAGATTTAGTGTCTGTGTTCAGAGGTAGAACTATCAAGGCCTATGATCTGATTATTTTATGGGCTCAAAAGTTATTTTATAAAAGCCTCAATTTCTGGTTTGGTTTATAGGTATAATAGTACAGTTGTTTTGGTGAAACATGTTAGGGTTTAGAAGCTGTCTTTCTGGAAGGGTCACAGTAGAGGTATTTATAATTAAGCTATTGTAATCAAAGCTATAATGAAAGTGAAACTGATACTCAAAATAATTTTCTAAATTCTTCATCTCTATATGTGTACCTTTTGGAGACTCTTTTATCAGGCATATATACCTGGGTGAGGCTAAATATAGATTTACTGGCAGATACATGATATGGGTATATAGATATGCCTATAGATTGATGCAGACCATGTATGATGTACGTGTACACATATGTTAATATTAAACTGTGGGGAGTTTTGAAGAAAGTTATTCTTAGGAATTCATTTCAATTTTTTTTTTTTTTTTTTCAGAAAAAGTTCCCTCATGGGTGTCATAGAGTCAGTTGAAAAGAGACTATTTATAGGTGTTATTTAAATTTGAGGGTTCTCCGCTGAATGAACTGTTGGGTTGGCTTTCTCCCATGCAGGCAGACTTAAGATGACTTCCGAAGCTAAGGTTTGTCAGTGAGAGGTGAAACAGGAGCATCAGATGCGGCATTACACACGTGAATACTAACATTTACCAACACTAATACAGTTATGCACTCTGGAAATGTTTTCCATCAGTGGGGTGTTTTTTTCTTCTTCTCCCTTTTTTCCTGATGCATCTCCCAGGGATCAGGAACTGGAATCCTGGGCCATTAGTTAGAGCAGCTCCAACAATTGAATTGTCAGCAGCTGTCAGACTCTTCCAGGATCAGACTTCTGGCTTCATTGCTGTCCCCAGTTGCTTCACGGGGGGTAATAACGGTGCTGATCTGGAGGATTTTGCATACCTTGAACTTAGGAAATATTCCTGTATCACCTGTTGGTTGGCATCCTCACCTCCAGCCTGTGCCCCTGGCAGCCTGGGAACCAGTGGCGCTTTCCTACATGAAGCAGCAGCCTGAGCTGCTGTGTGGCTGCAGTGGCATTGCCCAGTTCTACTCTCCTTTTGTTCCATACTGTCCTTTGTGAAGTACTTTGGTGTAGGGACATGAGAACTACCCTTGGTGATGAGAAGGAAGGAAATAAACCATGTGATCTAATTCTTAGATTTACAGACTGTTCTGCCCCCAGGCTCTGCTGCACCCATCCTCCCGTGCCAGAGTCCAGCGTGGGCATGGTGGCGCTAGGGCACAACCAAGCTGAGATTTCAGGAGCTTGTTGGCAGAAGCCTGGCAGCATGTCTGCTGTGCTGCATTGTACACCTTCCTACTTTGCCCTCAGGGTTGAAACCTGCGATTCCTTGTCTCCACTTGACCTGCTCTGCCTGCAGGGCCCTCTGTAGTATGGCCTGGTCGGTCCTTGGGGATGTTCCTTGGGCCGGACCCAGGCCTCTGGGGCCAGCTCCTGCCTGGTGGATGAAAGAACCACTTCCCCTGTGGTCCAGCCAGCCCTGCCTACTCCCTACAGTGGCCTCTTCTCGTTTCTCCTTCTTTGAGTTTCCTGCATGTCTGGCTCTTTTCTTTATCTTGAGTGTGTCATGTCATCTCCCTGGACTCCCTTTAAGTTTGGGCCCCATCGGGGGCGTCTAAGTTTGGGCCCCATCGGGGACAGCGCGCTGCAGGTGACAGGCCTTCTGTCTTACGCCTGTGTCGCTCTGGTGGACGCTTGTCAGTCATCTAGTCCCCTGTTTAGGAGGTGAAGCAGCTCCCAAGGTGGTGGGAGAACATGCATTTCCTATCGTGTGATAGTCCCCTTTTCTGCCAGTTCCCACAGCTAGAGGGGCTGTCTGCGATGTGTTTTTTAAATCCGATCAGCTTTGCTGAGATGACAAGACTCATGCCTACTAGCCCCTGGTCAGCTTTGGGACATGGACCTTGGTGCCCGGGATGGGGTCGTGTTGTCTGGTCTGGTCTGGGGTGGACAGGCCAGTGCTCTGTCGGTCAAGTTGTTCTGAGAGAGGGCACCCACCGTGAACTTGACCCCGTGAGTCCCTGGGGTGCAGTGGTGAATGAGAAAGGTTCTGCTAAAAAACCTCATGTCTTGTTTGTTTTAGCCAAACTTTGAGTCTGAGGGTGTAGATAACGGAAATTGGTAGAAAGTGAAACAGGAAATGGTATTTGAATATCATTATCTCAGGTACTATGTTATAAAATAACATCTGCTCCAGTTGGTGAATCATTGAATAGTATTTGGAAATCTTTTTGTCACGGAGGTTTATTTTGGTTTAATCCATTTCCACTCTTAACATTAAAAAAAACAAAACCAAAAAACAGTAACTAACACAGGTTGAGTCCTCATTACTGGAAGTGTTCAACCACTGTACGGGGGGGAGTATGACTTCATGTCAGTACACTGAATACGATGAAGTCTAATGCATACGTGGGGAAATTGAGGCACAGAGTCATGAAGTAACTTGTCCCAGGCTCTAAGAGAATGACAGTGGTGGGATTTGAACCCAGGAGCTGTTGGTTCCAGTGCCTGGCTTTGCCCGCAGTGCTGTTGCGGGAGTTCTAGCATTTTGCCCAGGAAGGTTGTATTGCGGTGGTTCCTGTGCCTGAGGAACATGATGTCATCTTCTGTCAGATTTAGAAAAAAAACTGAAAACCTCAATGAGGTTTTCCAAAATAGTCCTATCCACGCATGCCTGAGAAATGGCTAGATTGTGCTCAGCTCTGTGGACATTTTGAGCGTGGACTGTGGACCAGGTTCCGCTGGGGCGCGGGGGTGCCATGGTGAGCGAAAGAGGCAGGCACTGTCCTCGTGGGGCTTGCAGTCGAATGGGGTGCAGAGATAATAAACAGGAAATAGGATAAATGGGCAGTTACTTCGTCTGTTCGGAGGGCGCCCGCGCTAGGTGCTGGCGGGCTGGAGGAGGTGTGAGTTTTCCTGAGAGCCGTGAAGGCAGAGGCCGGCACTGCCAGTCCTTGTCTGGCGATGGGGACTCGCAAGTTAGGCCATTTCATCATTATGTGAACGCTGGAGAGTAATTACACCAATTTGGATGGCACAGCTTACTCCACGCCTAGACTATACAGTGGGAACCGCCACTGTGTAAACGACCGTATTTGATATTTGAGCCGAGCCTTGAAAGCAGCCAGGGGATTAGGTGAGCCAGTGCAGGTCCTGAGGCTCTGCCAGGAGGAGGTGGGGGAATTACATGGTGAGGTCCCTGCCCTTTGAGAGCTTGGTGTTGTTGGGGAGATAAGGCTGGTAATACCCTGAGATAACATTCATGTGCTAAACTGTAGGAACTGAGAGGACAGGGGAGGAACAGTGTAAATTGAAGGTTTCCTTAAGGCTGGGGGTGAGGGTTGGGGGAAGTGGCTTAGAGGTCTGCATCAGCAGAGGGGCCTCCGACAGCACCTGGGGTGACCAGGGCTGATGTTTCCATTGGTGCCCATGGTGCCCGCTCTAGTGGGCTGAGAAGATCGGGTTGGGTGTCTGCCAAGGCCTATGTTGGACTGTGCTCCAGGTTAAGGAGTCAGCGTAAATTTGACTAGCAGTGAGGGAGCCAGGGAAGCTTCTGGAACAGGGATTAACATTGATAATATTGATGTTATCACATCCCTGGTCTTGATGTCACCCATGGGTGGCTGGACCATACCCTGAGGGTGACAGGTAATGACTGATGTTGAAGAAGGTTGGCCTCACCCTGATGTCAGGAGCAGATTGACATCAGCGTCTTGAACCAGAGAGAAGAGCCCTGTCTGGTGGCTGGAGGCCTGGGGCTCATGGTGTGGGCCGATTTGCTTGCAGAAGGAATGTATAAGAATGGACAGGTCTAAACTGTATTTCTGATGACTGGCAGTTCTTTCTGCGGGAGGTGGCAGGAGGAGAGCTGCGCAAGAGGATACTGGGGCTTGCCAAGGGATCAGGAGGATGATGGTGTCCTTGACAGAGGGGCTTGGGTAGAACAGAAGTTTTTGGGCAGGGATCCCCGCTGCTGACAAGCCTGGAGTTGGTCATCATTGTTTCTGGGGCGACAGAGGGCCTGTGGCGTGAGGCGCTGGGACTGGAGCTGCAGATGAATATAGTAGAGCGTCTGCTTCGAGCTTGCGATTATGCTGACCCAAACCACGTGTGTCCTGGTTCTGGTAGCAAGAAGATGCCTTTGTTGAGTGTCTCCCTGTGCTATTGAGAAGGTGCAGCTGGAGGTAGGGATTTGGGCCCCTGGGTGACAAGTGTGGGTTAACTCTCGGGGGGAATGAGTATAGAGGAAGAGGCAGGGAGGCAGTGCCACCGCCACCAAAAGCCAAGGGTTAGAGAGAAGCGAGAGGCATGGGAGGGTCGTGTTCCTGAGCAGCCGGCCAACAGATCTGGCCGGAACATGACAGGCCCTTAACTGGGCCTGCCCGTTTGTTTCTGTTTCAAGCACCATTTTTGGTCCCTCCTCTCCTCCCCCCCACTGACTTGTGGTCAGATTTCGGTCGGTCTGGGAGGCTATTCTGGGTGAGTGTGATATTTCTGCCTTTTGTAACGTGTACTGCACTTTTTACATTGGTGTCACAGTAGTCATTTAGAGAATTCTGAGCCAAATAATGCATTTTCAATTTGTGGGAATTCTCGTTATCCTGCACTATTATCTAGCATCACTAACTTGAACACTACAGAGAGGCTTCTGGAGGGAAATGGTGTCAAGATGATTTGAGGCCATGTGCAGGCGTGATTTTCACCAGATGGCATATTTACTGACCATGAGCAGCTAAGGGATGGCCGGGCAACTAGGACTCTGGGTTGTGTCATTCTCCTGTTGGTGCTAATGGAGCACCACCACGTGCCAGGCACTAGAAGACGTTCATGACCAGTTCATCACCCCTGTGAGATCCGGAGACATGTTTCTTTGGGGGATTTTTCTTGTTCCTTTGAAACAACTGTTAAAGCTTGTTCTTTGTCAACAGGGCGACTCTGAAGAGGATGTGGACGAGCATTCTCCAGAGCAGAGGTAAGAGGCATGGGCGTGGTTACCTGCTGAATTTCCCTGTGCACTCTGGGCGCTGCCTCAAGCCTTGGGGTCTATCTGTGTTTGTGTACTTAGTATTATCCGTGATAGACCTTTCGTTTTGGGATTTGGCGTATCTGTGTTCTTTATTTTATTTTTTTAAAATATTTTTTTAAAAAAGATTTACTTATTTATGCATGCAAGAGCTGGGGTTTAGGCCAGAGGTCTGGGGGTGGTGGTGAGAGGATTCACCAGAGACAGAGTGGGGAGCGGAACAGATAGATCTACTGAAATACACTGCTGAGGGGAGCAGCAGGTGAGACAGAAGAGGTCTGCTGTGCCATGTGGGTAGCTCCCTGGCAGGGGATTGAACTCATGCTGCAATGGCTGCAGACAGCCTCATAGGTTGCATCTTAACCCCTTGCGCCACCACAGAGGCCCTCTGTGTGCTTTAATAACTAATAAGATTTTGTTTTAAAGTAAGTACCGAAAGCTGTCAGATACACCCCCTCCACACCACACACACCAAGTGCCCTTCCTCATGGCATGCTTGCACTCTTGTTCACAAATATGAGGCATGTGCTGGGTGTGGGTGCTGGACATAAAATATAGATCTGTGTTGGGTGTAGTGGGAAAGTCACATTATTGTAAACAAAATAGTTAATGTTTACACGAAGAACTATCAAGCCTTAGATGGCTGTGGTAGGGAATGATGTGGTAAATGGTGGCAAGGTGAGGCACTTCTTAGGAGATAAGAGATGTGCTGGTCTGGAGGATGTGCAGGGGGCAACCATGTGGCAGGCAGAGGGAGAAGGCCACTGTGGTTTGTAGGAAAGCGTGATGAGGTAGGATCTTAGAGGCCACAGTAAGGAGGTTGCGTCTTAATTTCTATTTTATTTTATTGTAAATTTTTATTTATTTTACATAGAAGAATTAGGATGTAGGCCAGAAGTGTGGGGGGCAGGAAGGGTGTGGTGAGAGGATTCACCAGAGACAGAGCAGGGCTCAGAATAGGCAGATGTACTTTTCTGGAGGGAGCAGCGTGTGAGACAGGAGAGGTCTGCTGGGCCATGTGGGTTAGCTCCCTGGTCTAGGATTGAACTCAGGCCTTTGCGGTGGGCCTTTGCCATGGAAGCACTGAGTCTTAACCCCTGGACCACTAAGGATGCCCTTCGGTTTTATTTTTTAAAGTGTGGTTTGAATTGTTAAAAGATTTTAAGCAGGGGTTAGCAAATCCAAAGTCATAAATTATATTAATCATGGGACAGCCTTGCTCTGCTGTCACACTGAGATATCTGGTTCCTTGGGGGAGACATGGAGACCCCTAGGTAGCACCTGGGCACTGACATAACTTCTGGATACTCTGCATCCATATATTCTCCATCTCTGCTCTCATAATCTTGCTTCTCCCTTCCCAAAGGAATGCATGCGTCTTGTGTGCTACATCTTGGTCAAACAGCAGAGGGGAAGTTTGAAATATTAAGGTTGAGAAGAAAGTGATTCACTCTGATGGAATGACAAATTCATTTGTAACTCTGGTGGTTTTCAGTTTGAAGGCGGTCCCACTCAAGCTGGCAGTTGATAGGTCATCTAGAGCTATTTTTAATGATGGATCACTGAGATTTTTGGAAACAAAATCTGAGGGAGTTTAGAGAATGTCAGGGTGCTGTAACAAAGCTCTCTCATTCACATATATTTATGCGAGCAGGTTTCTCACTGCTTACATTGAAAAAGGGGCAAGGAAATAAGACGAAATTGATACCTTCTTACCCTGCCTCTTTCTAACAGTAAGTAATATTCATGTAACCCGGTTGGAGAAACAAGACAGTTGCCACTTTTCAGTAAAATCTGACTTATGTTTAATTGTCAAAATTTGTCAACTTTGTTATTTTGATCAATTGTGTACTAATAAAAATTATAACGATAATTCAAAAGAAGAACATTTAGATTTAGACTGTATGGTCACAGCAAAACATTTTAAAACCCTGGAATTTTAATTTATACCCCATAGTTTTATGGCAAAAAACTGTGACGATAAAGCTGTTTTAGGTTAAAATTCTTTGCAGGACTATCCAGCAATACAGGAAAACCTATTTTGTGGATTTCAAGTATAGATGATGGCGGCCATCACTGCTGTGGTATTTAGAGTTCACCGGATATTTTTAAAAACAATGGTTTTGTTAAAAGTGCCAGTAGTTACAGTGTGCCAGAAGCTACATTCTTTGCAGCCAGTTAACTCCTAAAAATTTTAAATGTGAGGGCCTCCCTGGTGGTGCAGGGGTTAAAGTCTGAGCACTATCAAGCTGTCGCCAACCACTGCTGGCATGAGTTCAATCTCCGGCCAGGGAGCTAACCCACATGGCACAGCAGACCTCTCCTTTCTCCCGCGCTGCTCCCCTCAGCAGTGTATTTCAGTAGATCTGTCTGTTCTGCTCCCTACTCTGTTTCTGGTGAATCCTCTCACCATCCATACCTCTGGCCTACACCCAGTTCTTCTGTGCATAAATAAAGAAAATAAATCTTTAAAAATTTTTTTAAAATGTGGAACAACTTCAGTATATGGGGTTTGTCACAGTCCTGTTGGGGTGGATGGAATAAAAAAGATTAGGAGTACTAATGGCACTTGGGCCAGGCCAGTGGTTGTGGGGTGGGGGAGATGTAGAAGGTTCTGAGTTGAATTTTGAGGGTGGAACAGATTTAGTCCTAGTTGAATCAGTTGTGGAGAGTGAGAGAAAAAGAACTCGTGGACAGCTTCTAGAATTTGGCCTGAGCTTCTGGGGAGATGATGATGATGTGATAAGAAAGCATTTAGTGGGAGGAAAGTTAAGAACACCAGTTGCTTGTCTCCTAGGAATGTCAGACTTGATTTGACAAGTCCGAAGGGAGAGAGCAGATAAGCAGAGATGTGATGGGGAGCTGGAAGGAGCTGGGAAGTCAGGCTACTTGGGGTATGGGGAATGTGATTTAGGGGTGATGACTAGCCTGAGTTGCCCAAGTCTTTGATTTTCTTTGACCTTGTACTTTTCTTCTTATTAATCAGAGCTAGTTTCTTTTCACCAACTTTCTGTCCAATACGAAAGTTGGTCTTTTGACACGGAATGGGGTGGGTGAAGGTATGGGGATGAGGGAGAGTTCATCATGGATTCGGAGCACAGTAGGAGATGCATTTCACAGCCACAGGCGTGTACCTGGGCATCTGACTCCAGGAAGGCATGCTGAGTTATTTATTTAGAAAATCCTGCTTGATCTTACTACCCGCTGCGTTTACTTCTATTTTCTATTTATTTTGTTGTTGAGGAAAATACACATCATTTGTTCTCTTAGCCCTTTTCAAGTGGTAGTTCCATGACTCACAGCTCACTCACCAGTGGACGACCCTTACCTCTCCTCCCCGGGACTTCTCCCTGCCATTGAAGAAAATTACTGGTCGCCATATCTGGGTGGGTTTTCATGCTCCATCAAGATCCCTAATTTGGGCCTCCCCTGGTGGCACAGTGGGTTGAGCGCTGCGCTGTCAAGCTGTCTGCAGCCTCTGCAGCGCTGGTTCGATCCCGGCCGGCCGGCGAGGGCCCCACATGGCACGGTAGATCTCTCCTGTTTCGCCCGCTGCTCCCCTCAGCAGTGTATTTCAGTCAGTCTGCCTGTTCTGCTCCCCGCTCTGTCTCTGGTGAATCCTCTCACCCTCCCACGCATCTGGCCTGTACCCTGGTTCTTGTATAAATAAATAAATAAATCTTTAAAAGAAAAAAAAAAAAAAAGATCCCCAGTTTAACCAACCCGACTTTATGTTTTTAATCTTCCCAGTTTTAGATACTCCCATCTCTGGTGCCATGTTGGCCCTCCTCGCTTTCCTTATGACTTGACTTCCAAACCTCTGTTTCTTTTGGCTCCTGTTTGTTGAGATTTGTTCCTTATGTGTAAAGACAAGATCACGCCGCGGGTTGGAGGCCGGATTAGAAAACCTGCTTGGTCTTCACTTTCTGAAAATGTGGATTCTGGAGTTCTTTCCAGGAACGATTTCTGGGAGAGCAACACTCCTAATGGGTAGATTAGTCTCTTAAGTGCTGTGCAGGGGGAATTTTATCTTTAAAGAAATTTTAAGACCCTTATAGCTCATATCATGCCTTGCTATTTTAAAAATAAACCATTTCTTTAGACTACGTTTAGATTTATAGAGAGGCCGGGGAGGGGGTACGGAGAGCCCCATGTCACCCTCACGCAGCTTATTCCATTGTCACTGCGGTGCTTTGCCACAGCTCAGAAACCTGCACAGGCACATTAGGGTGAGCTCAACTCCATGCTTCATTTGGATTTGACTAGTTTTTGCCTAACACCGGCTTTCTGTCCAGGACCCCTGCCAGGAGGCCACGTCATCACCTTTTGTCGGGTCTCCTCGGGACCCTCATGGTGTTGATACTTTGTGAGATTTTCCTTGTTCTTGTACCTCAGTGGCTTGGTCTGATTGGGATTGGGAACTTGGGGGTGGAAGGCCGCGGATCCCAGTGGCCATTCTCATCACCTGGCAGAGGTCGCTGCTGTCATCATGACTCAGTGCTTTGGTGTCGGCCTCCATCACCTGGCTGAGGTATGTTCGGGGGCTTTGTCCTCTGTGAAGTTATTCATTGCCCACCTTCTTCTGTCCTGCACTCTTTGGAGTCATTAAGTGGAATTAAGCTCCACTGACATAAATAATTTAGAAATCTGTGTGTGGGATCTGTCCATTCCCCCTCATTTATTTATTTACTCAGTCATTTATTTATATCACTGTGGACTCCAGGATATTTATTCTTTGTGTTATAAGCTAAGACTAGATTTGCCCTGCTGTTTAATGGCGTTGATCCTTAATCTTAGTTATGAAGTTGCTAGTATCTCGCTACACATTTTTCAGACATTTTTGTGATTTCAAATTCAGTTGCTAACCCTGCCCCCCATGCCAGCTCTTAATGATATTAAAAGGTACCCATAGTCAGCAGAGACTGCCCTTGGGAATTCCACAAAATGAG